AACTGTCTTTCGTTTGGGGCATATTCTGATTTGGTTTTTAAGTCAAGTCGCTGGTTTTAAATTTTAAAATCTATTGTCCAACTGGGTGCTGTAAGGTCTACAGTTAAGTCACCCGTGGCTTGGCGTCAGAACGGTGAGACTGGAAAATTTAATCAGACTCCGACCCAAAAGATAGGTAGTACAGTTCCATTTAGGGGTACGACGCCTTCTCTTAGATCTCACATGCCTCTTCAGCCCAGCACGTCTACAAACCCCGCAGCTCCAATTATATCCCCAAATAATTCTCTGTCCTGCGTACCGGTTACTTATCAAAGCCCTACTATATATCCAGCAAATAATTCATACATGAATTGTTCTAAGTAATTTATGCCCCAACCTAGTTCAGGCTTCCCATCCTTAAGGCCAATTGCTCTCAGGTACGTCAACCTATCTCCTTTGACTTCCAATCTAGACCTGGTTTCCCATACTTTCATTCTTATAGCGGCCTACCCTCACCCACTAGCCCCTACTTCCCTTCTAGCCTCTCTCCTCCTCCCCTTCCTCCAATATTTAACTACCAACAAGTCTATCCATCTTCTAACTCCCCTAGCATTCCAATGTTTGAAAACTATATCCCCACCTCCTTTAGGTCTCATACTCAGCCTTCTCTTGCTGACTCCCCGTACGTCAATAACTCTAGACTAACTGATACTTATTCTCCAAGTGTCATTAATACGCAGCTTACATATCCGCCTCCAAATTTTTTTAAAATACCGTCGAAAATAGCATTGCCGTTCAAAACACATTAGATATTATATTATTGAATGCCAGGTCTATTATAAGCGAAATGGCCCAAATCAGAGCCATTGCTCTCGAAATGGCGCCTGATATTATATGTGTGACTAAATCTTGGACTCATTCTCTAATTCCTGACTCTGCCCTTCTCATAGATGACTTCGTTTTTTACCGCCAGGGCCGCACGACTAGGCGTGGGGGTGGTTGTCTTCTTTATCTTAACTCCTACCAAAAGCACTCTCCCTATTACTTGGATGTTTCCTCTTTCACGGGAAACTTCTGCTTTGCATCTGTTATTCTCTCGCCGCAAAGAAAGGCAATTATTGGCTGTATCTACAATCCCCCAAATTCTTTAGCCAGTGATGATTCACAACTCTGTGAAATCTTTAAATTAATTTTGGAAGCTGCTTTCGATGTTAAAATAATCACTGGGGATTTTAACCTTCCCGAAATAGACTGGGTTTCCAATAGCTGTCCACCCAGATTCCAGCCCTTTCAAGATATTGTCAATTTTTCTAACTGGTCCTTACTGGTGCGCTCTCCAACAAGAGATACTCACATTTTAGATCTAATCTTTACCAATGACATTGCTCCTCTTTCTGTTGCTTTAAAAAAGACCTCTTTAACAGTGACCACGCATTAATTCATTGTTGCTTACTGCTTGCCTTTTCAAAAAAGACCAGCGCCGTTCGGACTTACATGAACTACGACTCCGTAGATAACGACATAATCAATAACTATATTAGATGTATGGATTGGTGTGGCTTCCTCTCCTGTAGCGATGCAACCATTCTTCGTGATGTCATGTCCAATGTATTCAAGGAGATACTAGAGTTTGTGCCGCGTAGATATCTCAAGGCAAATTCTTCTGACTCCCTTGTTCCTCATTTTTTTAACAACAGAGTAAAGAAGTTGAGAGGATAGCTGCGTGAACCATCCGCTAGTTCCTTATCAGTTCATCTTAGAATCACAGAGATATTTGAGATGGCCGCAGGGATGCGCAAAGCGCGCGACAGGTAAAGAAAATCGCTTACCCTCAGTCACTCGAACCCTGGCAAATCCGTCGCTAATATATTCCGTCATCGGTCCTCCTCTAAGCGTGGTCACGAACTTCCACCCCTGCCCTCCTCATCGATGACACTGACAAGGCGGAGTTGTTTAGTGCTTTCTTTGCAAAATACCGTAATACTGAGTCCGATCCGGTCCCTTTCTTTCGATCACCTTCAGATAGGACACTGAGTAAAATCTATGTCTCCTCAGATCTCATTAAGAAACACAGAAGTCGCTTGAAATACTTACACTGCCCAGGAACGGACGGGATTCCGAACTCGATTATTTTACAAGCGTCCGACCTTCCCATATTGCTTTGTCACTTATTCTCGGTTTATATTTCAAAAGGATTCTTTCCTGACTTAGAAGCTCTCAGCATCCGGCCGCCTCTACTCGACTTCATCAGGTCCTATCTGTCCAACCGATATCAGAATGTCATGGTCGGTAATAGCTAATCGACACCCCTCTCGATCACGAATGGCGTACTTCAAGGAACGGTTCTGGGTCCGCCTCTCTTCCTTCTGTACATCAATGATATTTCGACTGAACTCGGAAATTCGCAAACTTTTACTTATGCCGATGACCTCAAGTGTGTTTACTCATACTCTAAGGACACCGCAAATGTTTGTGTTGAAAAAATTAATGCCGATCTACTACGCTTAATCAGATGGGGTTTGACATGGCAGATGGAGTTTTCATCATCCAAGTGTAGTTTCATGTCTTTTGGTCCTACCAAACTTCCTGGTCCCATAATTTTTCAGAATAACCCACTCTCAGAATGCATCACCATAACGGACCTAGGTTTAAGTTACAGAAATAAACTTGCTTTATCACCTTATGCAGATAGAAGTTTTGCCAAAGCCGCGCAGATATGTGGATTTATATCGCATAATTTTTTCCTTCCGGAACTGAAGCTAAGACTTCATCAAATGTTTGTTCTTCCAGTCCTCGAATACTGCTGTCCTTTCTTCGGTTTAATGAACGCCTGCGACCGTAATAAAATCGAAAATGTTCAGAGGGTTTTCACCCGGAAACTGTTCTCTCAAGCTTCGTCCAGTATTTCTTATACTCAGAGATGTCAGTTGACGAACATTAAGTTTTTGTGGGTTAGAAGACTCGAAGCTGGCCTTTGCTTCCTTCTTCGCATCAGCTCTAACTCCAATGTTCCGCTCATTGACACTCTCACTCCGAGGGATCGGTTTTATGGCACACGCAACTCCTGCATGGTGATTCCGCGGCCTCTTTGCACTACATCTAAGCGCTCCCTCTTCTTTGCTTCCTAATATGCCTTCCTTTGGAATAATCTTCCGCCTGAAATTAGGTCATCGCCTAAGTTACTGGTACTCAAGTCGAAATTACGCAAACGTCTTACACCGGAAAGCATAAAGGCACTGTTAACGGTCTCATTCCCGAACACTCAGCTTCTTGACTTCGAGAAGGGTCCTCCTGGGATTTGTTGGTAGATCATATGTTAGCCCTCAATTATATCATTAGAAACCCCTGTTTTGAATTGGTTTCTAATCGACTGCTATCAATCCTTCCCCATAGTGACAATTTTCCTGGTTTTGGACGTCATCTCCCGCATCCCGACCCCATACGGTCTGTTGGCGCTCACGGTGGGATCCTTAGTATTCGCCGTCTACTAGTATCTTGGTCGTACCTCCCTTCCCCACTCCTCGGCTGGGCTCGAAGCGTACTGTGTCCGATCGCGTCTGGATTCCTCTCGCCTGGCGTCTTGGACGCGAATAGTTTCATCCAGCGTATCAATCTGGCCCAGACAATGTCAGTTGTGGATCCCGTATACAATACCACATGCAGGCCAGTCCTGTCTGACCCGCATACTTACCCCTCAAGGCTGACATTTATTGCTACCCTTACTATGTCCGAGTATAATCCGTTATATACCGCCACATACAGGCCAGTCTTGCTCGCATTTTTCTGTTATAATTTTTGTTGAGGGGTTTTTTTCTCCTGTAAAATTAATGCAGTCATTTTGAAGTTTTCGTATGGTTTTTTTACCACTCGCTGGTCGTTTTTCTCAATGTACTACTAATTCAGAAACAATGAACTGCATTTTGTACAGATTCTGCCTACCTCGTCTGAAATTCGCATGTAAATTTATTTTAACTTGCTTTGATGGGACCCCAACGGGTCTTTAATAAAAAATTATCTTATCTTTATCATAAGTATTAGTATCCACCAAACGCCCATGTGAATCGAGACATCTACATTTGTGAGTGATAAAGTCAGATTATAGCACTACTTTTTTAAGTGTCCAGGGGCACTATCCAGACAAAAGTAACACTGGGTCATTCGATAAAATAATACAACGTAACAGCTATGATGAGGCTGGGCTGTCAGATGAACGGTAGAATTAAAAAATCTGCTGTGTTCGATGAGCGATGGCCTTCACATCTGCCAGCAAGTTGTACATTTGCGCATGATAGTTTCGAGGATACTGTTTACAAGTTTTAAATTCGAAGTTTTCAGTAAAATAGTGAAGTACCGACGAAGCAATGCAAAAACGCTTATAAAATAAAAGTGAAGAGTGAGTTCAGGGGACCTCCCTTTTCAAAAAAAATATTTGGGAGAAAAAAGTAATTGGCGAGGGTATATGAAGGAGCAGGGTCGGTTTTTCTTGAGGGTAGAATGAAACTAATAAGGCCGATCAGAAAGTGAGGAAGAAACGTAATTGAAGTGTACCTGAGGATGCTTTATAATTGCGAGTCTAGTGTGAGACCTCGGCGTATCAGAACGGAAAGTTGTTGGGGACTCTCGGCGATGGAGACAGATGTGATCTAGATCATGCGCATCAGTATGAGCTGATTATACCTTGACAGGTTGTTTAGGTGGCATGTCGCGTTTTTACGACTAAAAGTCGGAATTTCTGTTAAGAGATCGTGAGAAGTGAGATCACACGCGAAGAGGGTATTTTCGGAAATACAAGGAGCGTTTACATCGCAGGACGAATGTATAGGTGAGAGTCTGCTGTAAAGAAGACAAACACCGCTATATTTTGCAACGTGGTCTTCTCTATATATATTGAGATTATCTCTGACGAACGCCGAGTCGGAGATTGTGGAGTAAGCCCAAGATTTTACAATGCACTGACCATCTGAGTCAAACTCGATACCTTCACTCATTGGCTGGACCACCTTTCGAACGATTGATCTCGCATGGAGGGAAAGGAAACTGAGCACATTCCGGAGATGCAGGTTACGTTCATTGCTGTTGGTAAAGAAGGTAACCTCGCTTGTGGAAAATTGAACTGCGGAGGCAAAGTAAGAGGAGCAAAGCAAGTCTTCTGTGGTCTAAATTTGTGGAGATGCTTCCATTACCTAAATGGACATTATTGTACGGAAACATACTTGGGTGGGATCCATTGGGAGGAATGCTATTTCATTAGGTCGAAGAATAGGTGGAGGAGGGAAATAGGACTCTGAGAAGGATTAACATGACATGAAGGGAAAGATATATTGGAGAGAGACTAAACAGTATTGAAAAACTATTTACAGTATGATTGGATATAATGATTTGGGAAGGCTTGGGGGATTACAAAGCACACTGTTTGCATGTATCAGGTCTGAGAATTTAGGTAGGTACAGATAAAGACTGCCCTAGAGTACTATCTGGCTTATTCGATTGTACCGCTAGGTTCGATGTGATTGCATTGACGTAGGGACGAGATGGATTAGATGAAGTTACTTAAACTTAGTTACCGTTCTGTGCTTTGGATGTCGACTGCGACTTTGGAATCTGTTAGTCGCAGATAAAGCGTCCTGATAAAACGGAAACACATCTTGGACGATAACCGTCCATTAAAGATGATCCAATGAGGCATGCTTCCCTTATAATAATAATAGTTTTTATTTAACGCCAGTTTGCAGCCATTGCCAAGGAAGCACAAATACGGCCAGCAGTGAAAAAAAGCTGTCGAAAAGGAATAAAAATAAAGTTGATGGTGGTTTTTGTGGTTTAAAGGGTTCAGAAGAAAAAACTGCTGACCACAAACTGTCGACCATCAAGAAGGGAGGGTTTGCACGGTATCGGATATTATCAATCGCCAATTCCTTTCATGAAGTTGGGTCTAGTACAAACTGAAGCGCCGAAGAACAGCTATCGCTGTTGGCCAAACAAATTGTCCCTGGTGAGACCGACCATAGCGGTCAGAGACCACAAACGCCATCGCTACGGTAGGGTCAATCAGTGGATTCAACAAGCAAGATTTGTGGGAGCTTTTCTAAATGCAAATATCGACTAATAGTTCCCTTAAATAAAGGATAATTTTGCAGAGTTTTATATTCCTGGGTAGTTTTTTCAAATAGCAATTACATTTTCAGAAAAGAACCGACGATATTTAGCGGTAAGTGCCAGAGGAAGAAATACAAAGACCTCATGGTGACTGTTACGTCGGGGTTGAACATGAGGTCTGAAGGATCAAGGCCTGTAAGCCGGCAACGTTCTTGGTAAGACAAATGTCGGTGTTCTAGGGTTAAACCTCTCTTGGTAAAAAAGTGCTGAACGGATTTTATTTTCATCCGCTCTATAGCACGCATGAGGCTAAATAAAAAGGAACAGTATTCCAGACCACGTCTAACGTACATGTTGTAAAGGCGCATTCTAATATCCCTAGGTTTAAAGTTTCGGAGGATAAACCCGGTCGTTCTACGTGCTTTGGAGACTATCAAGGCATATTATCGGGTAAAAGGCAAAATGGGACTAAAAGTACCGTAAATGGGATGAAAGATTTAGAAGCGCCACATGGACGGTCAATCTGGGAAAAGAACTATAGATGAATAGAATTTGTAGAAGGCTGTATGTTCGCTGATTGGGGGAACTTTATATCCCGTGGAAATTTAACCCTGACGAATAAAAACGATTATTTCCTTTATGATATTGAGATGAACGCTGGTGGCGAAAGTAAATAAGGTCTTCTTCGATCAACAACAACCGTTTGACCACAATGGGTAAAATGTGCTCCTGGGGAAAATATTTCAGCTTCTGAGACCTTTGAGTTAAAGCCACAAGACTCAACAAAATACAGGGCAACATTAAGAGGTTGTTTGAACTAAGGAACGTTTTTCGAAATAAGTCTAACGCTTGATTTCTGCCTTCCATCAGCTTCACGGACAAAAAGGTGGACGTAGGGCACGAGTTTTTCACACTACTGAAAAGCAGAGGACCACATATTTACTTAAAAACAGGCACTAAGAACAGAACAAACCGACGAAAGTTCTGATTTTCTCATACTGACAGTAGGCTTTGCGTGGAAGCCGGGCTCTCAGTTTCAGCAAAAGTTGTCTGAGGGTTTTTTTGGAAGAAATTATTGTTCTGTTATTTAACTCTTATTTTCTCAAATAAAGCCTGTTAGGAATTTGAAAATGACTGTCAGAAATAACAAAAATATAACTAGACACAAAAGGCTCAAAAAGTACTAATTCATGCATATTAATATCTTCGGAAAAATGAAAAATGACGCTATGTACGGTGAAAAAATCAAACACATTGCTGGCATCTGGAGACCGATACAACTGGCAATTTTATGTGCAAAAGAAACAAAACCTAAAAAAATTTGCACTCGCCGATGTGTCATCGCGGGATGCATCACAAATACCAAGTCTGTCACGTGAGTCATCTTTCTATGTGAAACTAGTGCAGAAATATAGTTCGAAAATCGATAGTGTCATTGCATTAAATTAGTTTGAGAGGAACGTGCTTTGTTTCGATAGCGAACATATATAAAAGAACACGTGATTAAGAAACAGAACATTTCGGCTGCTATTGACATTGCACTTATTTGGTGATCAGTTAAACAAGGGGCTTTATTTGGGCTGCGAGACAATGATACATATATTCATAGGCATTGCGGGAACGCATTTAAGTCTGTAGCACAAAACTAGGTACGCCTTTGAGCAAATTTAGGATGCAGGCGGCGGAACTATGCGAATGAAGACAGCGTAACTTTGGGAATGCAGACAGCAAGCATGATACCAGAAACCAGCAAAAATTAACAAAAATTTTAAAGAATCTGGTATTAAGAGCGGGCAATGAAAATTCCACGTTCGTAATGGATTGCAAATTGTTAGAATGATATTGCCGACAAAGCTATGGGGGACTAACATGGCTAATCCGGCTTACCAGTTTTCACCAGTCAGCCATAGCTAACCACATGTGTGCACCCCTAAGGCACACTTGGTTAGAAATCCGGATCCATCACCACTGAACCACGGGATTGTTGCCCCATCAACTATGATCCATTAGGGCCTTTCTGTATTGGTTATAAACTGTCTTCGAAATAAAGGCGTATAACTTCAATTACCATTACTAAAAGAGTCAGTGATTCGTGTCAGATTGTCATAGTGTAATATTCGGGCAATCGACTGTAATCTCTCTTGTCAGTTTATATTTTTCAAAGCACGTTACATTTGCATTCCCCTGACTCTTACTGGAAAAGGTCTTGTTACAATACGCGCATTGTGATAATTGCGGCTCAAATAACTTGAGAAGCGCACTGAGTTACGTGATGCATATCCTCTATGCCGTTCTGTGGCTGTCTCTCTGTCAACCTTATCAAGGTTCTGCCTTGGACGCTGACATGCTGTGGAATCGCGCTTATTTCTCTTTCACCGTGGGTCATTTGGGATGGAAGGCGGCACGCGACACAACTGCTGTTTAAACAACAACAGAAAACGATTGCGATAAAAGGTTTCTACCTAGGTGATCCATGCTTTAATGTAAGCGAGTATCGGATAAAACATTTTGCCAGATCTTTTGAAGAATATGGCTAATTACCATATACACGCTGATCTATTAAGTATGCTTAAGAGCAAATCCCCTCATTTCTTTAAAATAAGTGCATATGAGAAACTTTTTTAGTAATACTTGTAAGGGCAATTGACGCCGCCCGCCTCTTGACGCGCATCTGACTAACAAGAGGAAGAGCGATTCGCACTAGGGACAATTCCCGACTGGCCATCGTGATCAGTAAGATGCATTCTCCTTTCGAGAGTGTACATGATCCTTCAGACAACCGACTGGGTTTTCATTATTATTAATTCAATAGTTAATTGAGCCTCACTAAACCGACCTATGCAAAGAACACTCTCCAAAACCATCTTGATCGCAAATGGCAGACGTAGTCCATGATCTTGGTTAGTGTAACGTAACTCAAAAAGTTGACAGCGACCATACGGAGACACAAAGCGTCGACTTTTATCCAACTGATTTCCTTATGCACGGAGAACTTTCTTAATGCACCTGGCATATTTGGGTCTGGTTTTTAAGGCCTTTCATAAATGTAACGAACACAGTCCAATCCAGTCACCCTCCAAAACCATTTTGTCCCAATACAACAAAAAAAGAGTTTAAGACGTTTTCGTAATCAATCCCTTTTATTTGGAACAAGTGCTTTGTTTTTCTCACGAGCAAGCATTGTTTTACTGTATAAATTGCAAGGCTTTCTAGGACGCCTTGCTGAACGCGCTGTTTCTCAGTATGACCACTATGAAGCTGTTTCCGATATTCTTACTAACCATTATCTGTGCAGGTAATGTCAATAAAAGTACAAACTAACATTAACCAGTCCTTCTTCATGCTAAAATTTGCCTGCTGAAAAATAAATTTATTGCATTAAAGCATTTTAATCCCTTAGATATTTACGAACTAGCTAGATTATGATACTTATTAAAATCCTTAATGGATTTTGGCAACGTATGAATAAGTATTACTGAAACGTACGTCACATGCTATGAATTTATGTGCATTTATTATTTCTAGGCGGTCGCTGCTACGGGTAAGCGAAATTTATTCAAGGAGCATTGACAGAAGCGTATGTAATGATTGCTTACGAAATCAAAATTGTATATGAACTGCACAGCTGGATAACCAAACTGTGCGGTTCTGAAAACCTGAGTTTTGCTCATGTATCATCTCAGAAAATTTCTTTTATACCTTTTTACACTCTAGTTTCATAGTGTTACCATTTCACCCGACCCGATTAGACCACAGGCTACTCACCAAATCTCATGAAAAAATCATTAAAAGTGACCGGTTTTGCGCAGTTAATTTGGAGATTTTGTAAACACAGTTACTTATTGTTGTTCACATGTGAATGTCCTGGTTTGATAGCGTTTTTAAGGACGTATGAAACGCACAGATAGAAGACACATATAAAGTACCACAAATCAATGTAACTAGACTAATTCACCGTCTCTAAAAGGCGAAAAACCATTGTAAAGTAGATCGCTTTGTCTTAAAATCTATACTGTTTACGGCATAGCACGTAATCCTTTCATTATTGTTGTATTTTTAATCTTAACCTTCTTATCCATTTTTATTACAATACTTTGCGTAATAGGCGCGTCACTGACAGTTAATTTACTTTGGTACATTTGAGGAGAATATTTTGTGTTATTTGAGCGATTCGTAAAAGATGCTGAAAATAGCAGCCCCAGCACACAAAGCCAAGCAATGTTCGTTATCGTTGTTTGCACGACTAAATTGGAAAATGTGTCTTTATACTGAGGCATTGTGAAATCAAAAACCCCCTCCACTTTTCAAAGTTAGTCCCAGTTGCAACCTTCACCACTTCAGTTAAGTTTCCATTTCCTTCAAAAGTAAAACTACAGAAAAGCTAACAAAGCTAACGAAATTAGCAAACGTAACTGCCCTGTCCATCTTTTCGATAGTTATATCAACAATTTCAGACTTTTCGCTGATACATTTAAGGTGATATGGAATATCACAGTCATCGCACCTGTGAAACTATAGAATGAAAATGCTATCGTGTAATTGTAAATTCCATGGGTTAATAAGCGTAATTTGTCTTACTAAATGAGGGACAACAAAAAAATTAGCAAAATCACAGCATAGTCTGATGTTGAGATCGGTGTTATCCGATGAGTGCTGATAAAGCACCAGACCTTAAGACTGGATATGATATTTACGATCGGTTTTTACCCTGAATTGTGGCGATACAGAAGTTTCTCTAGATAACGTAATATATATAAATTTGAACGAGGTTACGTAATGTAATTCACATTTTAAGTGTAATTTCTAAAATACTGAAGCAGATATTTACCAGTTGCATTTTTATCATTAATACAGTGAGAATGCGGCCACAGAAGCAAGTAAGGATCTGCGTCTCGGGGAATCAGGTTAGTTTACTACCTCTAAATGCATAGATGCATGAAAAACGTTTACATCATTAGACTACATCAATATAAAGCTGAAGAAGGAATGTTGTCACATGGAATTAAGTACAATTTATTTATCTGAAAGTAGGGAAGTGCCGTTTATGGGACCGGGTGATAACTTTACTGAAAGACTGATGACAAAACGGATAAAATCGCGACTTATAAACACGAAAAGGAACCCAAAGACTGCAACAGCCTGAAGTCCGAAAGCAGTAACATTTGCAGTAATTTATGCATTTCATAAAACATAGAACATCTAGCCCGTCAACTAAACCAGACCGCGCGCACTGTCCTTTATAATTTTACTTGTAAATTCTGTTAATCACCAACTAATGTATTTACCTCATTGCAGCATTTGAAATTAAGGGACACAGCTACAGTGCGGTGGTTACAATGAAGCAACCTGAAAGAACAGCAGCCATGGTCAGGGCATTAGCTCTCCGAGAAGGAGGCACTCAGAAAAGCTGCACAATGAGGCCGCAAAACGATGTTTTATCGTGTGTGATTTCACGTCTTCAACCAAATTCTATTTACACTGTTGCGCTTGAAACGTGCATGCAAAACGCTGCCTGCACTGCCTACAAGAATAGCATACAGGTTCGGACGACGCCAAGCGGTAAGAATAAAACGTTTTTCGAATTCATTGCATAACGGTGGTTTCTGCCTAAAAAACTAATTGTCCACTTAGTACTGAGTGTTCATGCGGAGAACACAACATAGTTCACGCGATTATGAAAAATTGTGGCGCATTGTATGACTTTTAGTACTGCAGTTGTTACTTTTCTGCCAAGGAAACCCTCTAGATATTATTTCTGAACGCCCCTTAGCGGTTCCAATTGCGCAATGAAGTTGAGATAATTTAATCATCAGAATATGACAAACGCGATTTAGATACGTCAGCATATTAGGGGTAAAATTTTAGTAACCGTTTATAACGTGAAAATGAACACGAAAATGTCAGTTTGGTTGTTCAAATTGAGCAGATTGTCTAATCAGTGAATTCGGACGTCTTTTATCTCACAAATTGCAAAAAGCAATTTCTTTCGTAATATTCCATTTTCCTAGAGCACACAACTGCATTCGTTTGTTAGAAGAAAAGATGATTGCAAATTTTCTACACGAAAATTCATAAACCATTACCATTATCCGGGTTTGCTTTAGCTCCTCGATATATATCCGTCACACATCGGACGAGCAGCACATTTGAGGTCTTCTGGGTTAAATCACTTGAAGATGTGAATGGTCAATACGTGTACAAAGTGAAGGCTGTTGGTGGCAATACAATACACACCTGCGAATCATCGTCATCTTCATCATGCATTGTGACAAATCTCGCAAGGGGCACCAAGTATGAGGTATCAGTTTCAGCATGCACCGTTGATGATCACTGCAGTGATTACACAACTCCTGTGCTTGGGGAAACGCTACCAAATCGTAAGTTCCCGGAATGCATTTGTCTTAATTTGTTGTGCTTTATTGTTGGCAGTTTCTGCATCTGAATTCACGGTGAAAGATGAACGGAGACAAACGCTGTCACAAACCAATAGATGATTCCACAAGCAGATCTTGAAGCTCAATTCATTAAGTGTCCACAGCCATATAAGTGAATTGGCATCTCTTGGAATGTATGTGTAGAGAAGTAATTTGTTGAAGATATTTTACATGATTCTGTGTTGACTCTAGATCTCACACGTCATGGCATATCATATTTCAGTCAAACATACTCTAACAATAAACAGTGAATGCTTTCAGGTGATCACTTTCTTTTGCTCGTCCTAAACGTGCCAAAACTGCGCGTGTCATATGCTGTTTTGAATAATAGACATATATTGTTATGGTCACAAGGATAATGTCTAACACCCGGGAACGTTTAAAAAGCACAAGTTTATGAAAGTGTAAACCCACCGTGGCTTCGAATTTGTAGGATAGAATTTCCGAAGAGCATAATCAACATCTCATCTTCTGCATCAGACGGGGATCAACAGTCACATTTCTGTATTTTCAGCGCCGCATAGCCCCCAGTTGGTTCAGAAAACAGAATGGGCTTTGACTACGTTATTCAAGCCCCCAGCAGATGACGAAAATGGCAACAAATTTGTTTACGCTGGTACCTTTGAATCGACCAGCGACGTCAATTTCTATGGAGGCGGTTGCGAAACAAAAAAACTAACGGACACATCTTTCTGCAAAACGCAGTTCCTTGCGCCTGCAACGCAATACAAGTTCCGTACATTTGCATGCACACACGAAACGTTTCTCTGTGCTGAAGGAGAGTCAAAAATCTTGGAAACCGCGGTGCCACGTAAGTTGACAATGATTATTTTTTATAATATTTTGAAGTTTTACCTTCATTGTGGACCGTCATATCTTTTTTTACTTCGTTTTTTGCTTAACGTAGACAAATTTGGATAATCACTCATTGCCCATTTTGAGCAGTAATCCGGGGTTAATTGAGCAGGCACTTCAAGTCTATAGTATTGAGCAGGGGGTTTGAGACGAAAGATATTCGAAAGGAATGCTCTCAGTTAAGTTACACAGTTAGAGTTTTTAGGAAATTTAGTTTGGTGGAGCACGCTCGCGAACGTTCTGACGTAAGGGTTCGTCGAACTATAGAAGTGAATCGATCTCAGATCTAAATGTCGGCTCCAGAAACTTAAAACCTTTCAGTGCATCCACTTCGCATCCGTTTTTTTTAACGCTTGACTGCTTTTATATATATATAGGTGAAAAATACCTTCACACGGCTCAACTAGAAGATGGTCGTATCCTCGCCAAATTTTATTCGAATATGAAAAATGAAGACAACGGTGATCGTTATTTCCGTCTGCGAGTCGATGGTCTGCCGGATGGAGTTGTTAAAATGCCAGTTAGAGAGGGATACTTCACTCATACATTTAGCGGAGTCCAACCATTCACTACGTACTTTTTCTATTTGGACGTTTGCAATGGAGCCGACTGCTCGAACGTACATTGGGATATCGCTTCGGGTTTCTTTGGAGGTAACCAGCTTTGATCTATAATTCTGACCAAATCGATGTTTTATGTCTAAAGGAATAAGCATGTGCTATATTTTTGAAACTGTTCTAAAACAAAGCAGTGAGGTGCCTGATATTAAATAAGTAACCGTAATTGATATTTTGACCACCCTACACAACATTTTCTTTTCAAACCGTTTAATAAGGAGTCACTATAGTTCTGTTTTCGTGACTTGTCGTCGTATAAGTTTTGTTACACTCCAAAAACCAGTAGCGTTTGGTGGCGCTCTTCGTATTGTTACACTACTTTAATTCTCAAAGGTCAGCTATTAGCTAAACAAAATGACGTATGAGATTGACCGAAGTCCTAACAACGTGCACACAACATCCACTCTAAGAAAATCGCATATAATATTTGTTAATAAAAATACTGATTTGCACCTAAAAATGCCTGAATTTTCGCATGATTGTAACACATTAGTTTCTTAAAACCACCTCTCACAAAGTTGCTTCGACTTTGAGTGCAAGCGTAAATTGTCTTCCTTATTGTCAATTGCCGTTGCATAGTTGCTTTTTCTACTGTGCTACAAAAACAACCTGCTAGAATATTAAACGTTACAAACATGGATTTGCATTTAGGCGTGAAGGCGAATCCACCGACGGAAATCACTCAGACAACGGCTTTCGTCAGTTGGTCAGACATATATGGTACATTTGTGAACCTACCCTATGGCTTCGCTTACGCCATTCCAGAGGACAAGAGCCTGGGTCAACAACAGTGCGTTGGCGTAGATCGCAACAGCTGCACGCTACAACATCTGCGGCCCGACACTGTGTACAATATTGTCATAAAAGGTTGTGAAAATCTAGGCAGATGTTACCGGCTGACGAACCCAATAAAAATAAGGACTGCAAAAGCCGGTAAGCCAACCAAACACCAAACTGTAGCGTTTTTAAAGAAAAGTTTAAATCAAGTAAGTGCCTTCTGCGGTACTTCCCTGAGTTTAAGCGAACGACTTGCTGAAATAAGACTGTCGCCACAAGGGGTCTTCTGAAAAAGAGTAGGCCTCTATCAAGCGGCCAAACAAATAAGGTAAATAACACCGTTTGTTCTAAAGAAAACCTCGTTCACATATGTGATGAACATTTTAGTTTTTTGGAAAGCCTGGCGACTTTTGATGGACAATGACTTTGATCACCTGCTCAGTGATCTGTGTCTCTTCTTTCGCATGGTGCCCTAATAAACCGTCTGGTCATTGAACATGGATTGATTGCATAATTAATGTTCATTAGGCGGAAAATCGATGAATTAGTAAAATTGATGCCTATGCATACTGCATCCGCATTCACCTACCCACAATCACCTTGAAACGGCAAAGATAGTCAGATTTTTTCTAAATTACAGAAGTAGATGGAAGTATGCTGTATGACAACATGCTCGAGTTAAAGTAAATTTATGAGGGTTAGCTATCGCGTTTGTCCTAATTTACCGGCGAGAGTATGTAAAATGGACGTATGTAGTTGGCACCGAAAAGCATCACCTAATTTGGTAAACGCCGACCAGTAGTTCAACGAATGCATAGTACGAAATACGAATTAAATAAAAGCCGGGTATAATAGTTGTTTCACAGAAAAATTCATTTGAGAAGCTAAAAGCTTAGACTGTGTTGATATATGGCAACGTTAGAAAATTTAGCTTGTGAGATGGCTTGCAAAGGGTTCGTTGCTGTTTGTAAAAAATTAAAACATGTTCTACTGCATTTCTCGTTTTTCTATCATCCGGACTCATCTGGTTATATTTTGTACATATTTATGACAGAAAGGTCTACTAGATAGTCAGTACGTTTTCACCATTTATATGGGGGGTTTACTTATCAGCAACAATCCGGTAAGACAATTGTTTTGGAATTAGTAAGACCAGCATCTGTTTGATGCAGAGTGCAGTAGAAGTCTGGTACGCAACCGTCACTGCAAAATGGCCTTTTCAAATAAATATCTCAATAAAATCTGCATCCTTAAAGCAAAGCCGATTTGGAAGGTTGCATGTAACCTATTTCCCTGTTCAGTCATTCCTACTTTATTTTTATTCTAAACATATAAGGACAGGGGAAAGAAGAGATTAAAAAAGTATGAATTTTGATACAGTATATATGCTTTGGACATTCGCTTTATCCACCTCCATGCGGTTTTCTGTAGATTCCTTGGAGACTGTTTCGGACGTTCGTGTCAGTAATGTCACAGCCAAATCCTTCTCTCTGACATGGACGCAACCACCGGCCGACAAAGACGACTCCTTCGAATACAAGATTGCCTTGAAATCACCAGGTGACCAACGAACTGCTGAAAGGAGCTTCTTTTGTGAAACAACCTCGGTCGAAGGAACGATGTCCTGCCTGGTTGAAAATCTACCTACCGATAGTTCATACTCGGTAACAGTGACTGCCTGTGCTACGGCCAATGCTTGTTCAGAACCTTCGAAACCTATCATCGTCAAAACTGCCAATTAAGGTGGGCTACATGGATTAACAACGCTTCTACTGATTAAAAGGGACGCATTCTAGATTTTCATAAGGCCCACAAGGAAGTGCATAAGGCTACAATGGGCCTCGATTGTGTACAGATGATAGAACCTAGATATACTGTATGATTTACACGGTTCGTGACATTTGTTTAATTCTGCAGGACAATTTCACTTTATTCAAAGCCCTCATCAGGACCCTGTTGTTCGTTATGCCACAAGTTTACCTACTGCTCATAGTCAGCGGTATGTGTTGTTGGTTTTGAACGAAATAACCTTGCTGGCCAATTGTCGACAGCTGATCCTCCCAAATAGGGTTTGTTACCTTGTTAGTGTTTGATGTTTCCTTTACGCATGGCGTAAAGTGCGTCGCGCGGAATTCACATATGAAGACAGCGCAAATTGACTGACGAAGTATCTTTTGCAAATTTGAAGCAACTAGTTTTCTTATCTGACCGTTATTTTTCGACTCACTAGTTTCAAATCAAGAACCAATAACCTTAACGTTTTTCGTATCTTTCTTTTCAGATTTGACGAGGATTTATTAATTGCAATCAGGTAAATCTGTGAAACAGTTTTTGAGAGAAATATTTGCAGTCACATAAACAATACCATTTAAATTATTGTCATATTTGTAAATTGACTTCGGACATTGATGATGGCTAACGATGACTGTTCGACCTTGGTTTCCGACCATGTTCGGCGTGTGTCCCACAGCTGCGTGGGTGGAGAGACGCGCATTTGCGAGTGAATTAGTTTTTAGTGGTAGTAAACTTGCCAGCATCTACGACACTCTCTCCCCCTCACCCACCTGGGCCTGATACTGACAGGAAAGCTGGGGGCATGATTTCTACGAAGGTGAGGAAAATGAGGATCTTGTACAGTAGATATGAGGCCAGGTAAACCCGATAACTTGGCATTAACGTTATGAGTATAAGAAACCTCGTTTAAGGGACTACCAGAAATCGCGTCTGAGATTTTGACAGTAGGGAGTTTTATCCACCGATGACAAACTGGTTTCCCACCTTGTCTCACTGTTCAAGTCTAGACATATTGTAGTGCTCTGTATAGCAACCTACAGTAGGTGAGCTAACTCATGAAATATCAACCGAAATTCCGAAATGCGTTTTCATTTCGAAATGATTAATTAAGTAGGGTTGTAAAACTAGTCAGTCTGCAACATAATTCTATAATATTGCAATTACCGCAGGGTGTCCGCCTTCGGATGAACTTACTTTTGGCCGTCTGCAAAAATTACAATCTGTAAAAAATGACCAGGTATTTAGCATGAATTTTTCTCATTGATTTTCGATGCCCCTAAAAGTCCAATTATATTTCATTGAAAGCATGCACAAACTATTCATTCTTTTAATCATTTGGTAGAAAATTGCGTCTTCTTTCGATCTTGTACTCGAAGGAGGAACATAATTTGGTGTAAGGAAAGTTTATAATTGTAGGAATTTTAAATACTGTGAAATGACCGTTCATAAATCGTCATGTCTGTACATTAACCAATGTGGCTTGTAAAGTTAACAACAAAGATCGAATCCACTGCTAAATTTTATGAATTCTATATGGTTTCCCTTTGTTATCGTAGAGAGATGCGTGGTTTTCTGTGCGCGGAAAATATACGGCTTGTAGTTTGGAAAACCTGAATCCAAGTGTAACAATAAAGCCGGTCGAAAATTATTCGGGAATTAACAAAGTTTTTGAAAACCGAATTATACCCTTCATTCGAGTATAAGATTGAAAGAAGACGCAATTGTCTACCGAATGATTAAAAGAATGAATATTTTTATGTATGCTTTCAATGAAATATAATTGGACTTTTAGGGGCATCGGAAATCAATGAGAAAAATTCATGCTAAATACGTGGTCATTTTTACAGAGTGTAATTTTTTTGCAGACGGCCGAAAGTAAGCTCATTCGAAGGCGGACATTCCGCGGTAACTGCAATATTATAGAATTACGTTGCAGACTGACTAGTTTTACAACCCTACTTAATTAATCATTTCGAAATGAAAACGCATTTCGGAATTTCGGTTGATATTTCATGAGTTAGCCCACCTACTGTACTTAGAAAACCACAATCAGGCGCAAACTGGCAACCACTGAAGTGTCCTAATGCTGCACTATGTAATCTAATATGCACAAGAGAAAAGTGGTTATGTTTAGTGCGGCTTGTAAGCGAAAAATGAGAGACAGACTGAACTATTTGTAATGTGACGTTCCTGCCACAACAGTACGCTTATCGCTATCGGGCCCTTCACTAACAGTCAAAAATCAGATATGACATTCAATAGCCCGCTTTCCCCATCATCATGAAAGAGTTGTTCGACAGTCGAAAACCGTTGAAGCATAATGCCTATGATGTTTCATTATGTCCGTTTACGACTTAAGCTGTTTCTGTTCCTTTCAGCGTAGGCAGACATCAGCTAGATCCTTCTGCGTTACGCCTTGTATTAGTGTTTTTTTGGTAGATTGAGCAAAATTTGTTTTGATCAGAATAAGAAGCGATCGGTGGAACAAGAACCTGACGTTTCGGAGAACTCCCTTATTCTGCATCGCAAACTGACACTGGTTAATTAAGTTTTAATTTGGGAAAATGTTACCTCACTTGCAATCCAAGTACCAAATACTCGTTCTATTTTATTCCCAGCGTCCATGCAGTCACCCACCTAAGCATAGGTTGCTTGCCAATGAAAATGGGAAGCTAAGTTTGCCAACTGCTTCCATGCTCTCGGTATCTATGCAGAGGCAGTATATAACTGAAAGTAGGGGAGTGGGTTCCACTAGCTGAAAGGGGTTAAGTGGAATGTGGAGTTTTCAGTGACATACGGTCTACGTTTTGACACTCAGGGCGCATCAGTATGATTCTGTATGTTTCTCAAATACCCTTGAGCATGAACGTGTATTTCTATACATTCGCAGGTTAGCCGAGGAAAAACTGCGCAATGCCTTAGAATAGGGCATGCAAACTCCTTCAAATCGGACGATCCCTCAAGTGTTCGCATACTGTCCACTCATCTGCGGTTTTAAATGTTAGCTGTGAGAGTCAGATTGATTCGCGCGGAGACACGGCTTGTTTTACGTACTTACACATTCGCAAAGAGTTTGTCGCTTACCAACAATGACTTGACTTTCACTTCGAAATCACTCGCCGCAAGAAATTTAACGTCTCCTAACTATCAGCTTTTCAGATTAACACAGGTTATTGGCTTGTGTTATGTACAACGAACTAAAAACAAAAATTAAGTAGGAAAGAAGATCTTGCTTGGAAAAGTGGGCGACTTTAGATACGTCTTACTAGAACGACGGACGAATTTCAATTGATCTTAATATTTGTTTATATCGAGACCTGCCAATTTTCAATAATTTTCCTTTATTGAATTTCATTTGCTAGCGTGCTTTCATCCTTGTTTACGGTTAGCAATACTTTCCTTTCAGCTGATTTGAACCTGTCAACTAGTCCTTAACGTAAGCGTATCTTTCTCAGTGTACAACACCGAAAATCTTCCTCTTCCTCCCACCTAACGGCGGAGTGTACAATTGCAAATACAGGTTTGGATACTATGAACAGACTTTTTTGGCTTTGCGGCAAACATCGAAATATGTGCACAGGTAGTGCACCATGTTACTCAGCGCAGTCTATTTTGAATACACAAATTAATCCTAAACAACAGTCGCTTATAAGAGCAGATGTCGTGTTTGGCTGTTTACAGGAAGTTAGCCTAAGCAATAACTGTGATCATAGCGTCATCTGAGCAGCCATAGCAGAAAACAAGAATTTGAACCTACTCTGGTGTTGAGAAGACTTGAAATTAGTGCGAAGTTTCAGTGGCCGCAGAAGGCATCCGAAGTATCCAATTTCAATGCATATCCCTGAATTGACTAGAGATACAAACCTGTCAACTAGGATAGGAGGCAATTGTATATGTTTCTACAGGATTAATCAGTTCATCGGAGAGGAATTATGCCACGATGTCGAACAACGGTTAAAGACACTATGTTACTAAGTATTTCCTTACTGAAATCGGCACATCTGTTTTCACTGTTGAAGTTACATTTTACGAACGAGTCTTCGTTTATTTTTGACTGCCTGTTGGCAACTTGTGAACATTAGGCGGTTATTGCGCAGTAACTGATGGACATCGGCTTGAATATTCACATATCAGTTCTCGAAGGAAACGTGAAAAAGTTTGTTCTGAGGGATTCACGCCACGTTCGCGTCCTGATTTCCTCTGAAGTTAAAGAAGGCTAATGGCGTTTTAATTTTTTAACTGTGCCCCGACACGTGGACAGTTTCTATTTTGAAACAATCCTGTGTAAAATAGCAATCCAAAGTGCATAAAGCCACACGAATCCTCGACACGTGCTGTGGTGTTTTTTTGAATCACAACGGTCATGATGTTCACAAGCCACATGGACTTTCACGAAACAGGTGGGTTACGCTGGAAAGGCAATTATCTTCTCAAATTCTTAAGAAAGACAGTGCTTGTGCAAGAAACTCCCAGACTCCCCGACATGAGTTCGGGCTTTTGAAGTATGAAGAGTTTACTCTACCAACCCGAAAACCAGTAAAGGAGGCAACGGGTGTGCTTTCCCATGCTCAGCGGACGATGACAATTGGGACGTGTCCACAAGGGCAGTTGTCTTGTGGTGACGATTATCTCTCATGATAATGTCTGCGATTGCAGATCGAGCTCACCTTGTCTGCATCGAATTCACGAAGCGCAGAGAAACTCAACATGTTTTTCTATTTGGGAGATTGTTTATGCACATGACAGAAGATAGTGTTTAAATGATCGTTGTAATGGTTCTTGAATATTACCCACACACCAGAGGAAATTAGGTCGGACTGAAGATTTCAAGAGTAGTTCTAATGTTCATACTCTTGCAACGCCGTTGAACGTATAGAGCTCGCGGTTTTTAACTTGAAGTAATGACCAATTAACAAGCATCGACCAGGATTATGCAAGGTATTTGTGTGTATTAGAAAGGAATGTAACCTGGTTAATCAGCTATGCATATAAAAGACTATTGGCTTAATATGGCCTTATCCTCGTTACTGTGGATTACATGGGCAATCAAAGTGGTCTTAACTCTTTGTTTTCATAGCAAAAGTTATCAAATTGGCTGATAACCATTTCGGGATATCAAAAGGAGAGCTCGATCTAGTGTATATTACTGCACACTACTAATTATCTATGTCCGGACGCCAAAATTTACTATACAAATCTCGACACATACTGCTTTCTGGGAAACTAAAAACTTTGAAGTTAAAATCGAACGTACGTATATGGTGGGAACAAATAGAGAAGGCTGTAAGACACCCGTTGATCTGTATTCTCAGCAGACTCGTTATACAGGACCCAAAGTGTCTCTGGGTTTCAGGCCAGTGACCACGACAGACGACTGGTAAATCAATAAATTTTAAAACTGATGGCCTTTTATTTTAACCCACACAAACCGCACTCTCTGCATTACTTAACAAACCGAATGCCCGACCACACTCTGCTCCTGAGTGGTACCTGCCATCGTACAGTGCTGTTTATCGTCTGCATTAATTTCGCAAGACATTCCCCTCTGATAGGGCTGGTAAAAACCGACCAACGTACTGGACTCGGCTGCCACAGAGTTTACAGGTTACGGAAAGGGAAACGCATATTTTCCAAAACGTCAGTCTGATGCGCACAAAAAAGGTTCATTAAGACTGTGTAGTCATCATGCCTCGCCGACTAGACTTCTGGAAAATGGTAGAAAGATTGAAAATTTAGCGGGCTGACTTTGGTCACCTAAGGTCTGCTCCGGTTAAATTATCCACATCAAGTGCACTATCCGCCCACTTTGAAAGTAGAAAGAGAGCACGTATTTTCTCCGCTAACACACAGGTCTACCGGGCATTTGTTAGCCTATGCGTAAGGTAGACCGTCCAAAAAGCGTCCCGCATTGCTGAAAAGGCTAATTACCAACTCGCGTAGTTGGATGAAACGGACCTGCTTGTGGAAAATGAGCGTGTCCTACTGTCCTACTTCACATAAAACAGAATGCTGTTCTGCACCTCTGCTTTATGATAAATTTGCCGGCATCTGATGGCAAGAGGAAGCAGGGAGACAGTAAGATGGGTATGGGAGTAGTGATAGCAAAATAACCAACTTATATACACCAGCCACACACGACATGACGTTTGTGTCCATGGCATTCAGGGGCTCCAGGCCTTGCGTAACTGAGAGCACCATGAACACTACATGGAAGCGTGGTCATCGTAGTGGCACTGATGATTTGTCGAGCAAAGACCTAAAGTGGCGAGGTTGGGAGCAATATCTGAATTGGCACGCGCCTTGTATGGAGCATGTACGTATGTCTGTGTGCACGCAAAATGACGTCAAGAGATTATTTCCCTGCGGATTAGAGGGAAAAATTAAAGAAAAGCCTATTGGGTATATTTATATTATTGATTCTCGTTGCGGTCAGTAAGCCACGAGTGCTTGAATAAGCAAACTTGAATGCAATACTGAACAATACGGTGACTTCGAGTATTTAATATTTGCACCAGTCAAGTAACAGTTACCCAATTGTGCCTGGTTCGGTCGCAGTAGGCAAACTTTTATGAATGCAGTAGAAACTTGCTTTTTGGATTTCAACCCTGACTGATATTTCTGCATAATCTAACTTCTCTGAAGTGACTATGCCCTCTAGTAGTACTCAGCAGACGTAAAGTTAACCGTAAGTGTACAGTAAGTGCTGTCTTGTGGAATAACAGACGTCGCAGTGCGAAACGGAGGCAGAAGTCGGACCTGGCACATCTTTAAAACGAAACCTTTTATTTACGTCCAATTCTACCTACTTTAAAGTTGACAAAATATTCACCTGAAAAGAACGCTCGCTAGGTAGTCCCCTTAAGAAAGCATAGATCAGAGGAAGAATGCGTGCAAAAATTACAATAACCCTATATGTGACGTTGGAAGATTTTGGGTTTAGCGAAAAATAACAGGTGCTGCTCTCTGATTTGTAAAAATGAAAAGTCAACCACAGTGACGAACGTGGTGTTCATTTACCTATGCATGCTTAGACACCTGTTTGTTCAATGTGCAGGTTTATCGTTGGGTAATTTAGTCTGATGAAAAGGAAGTCATTTGGTAGGAAGTAGATGAAATATTTAACTACTGGTATGGTTTGCAGGTCGCTAGACCGGAGGCGAAGGACACTGCCTCAAATGTATTTTAAATTTTTACAGAATAACGTGTTTGAGTGCCAATAAAGTGGATGCTTTAATATCGGTAAATTTCAGGCTTCTGAAAACGCATATAGATGCAGTTAAAATATTCCGCAACATGCCATTATTTTTAAATTTTCCGATTCTTTAAAAGCCGATGCAAAATGCAACAGTATTCAAATTCAGGCGTCCAGATAAGATAGTCGCTATTTATATCAGCTCGACATGGACCTCCATGCAAGCTTGCAGATCACAAAATATTATCCATCAAACCGGCGATGACAGCAAGCCTTTTCATTGCGACCGGTAAACGGGTTGTAAAATCTCAAAAAAGAAATGGAAACATTAATTTCAGTAAATAGTTTAGTACGCGGACGAAGCATTGTTTTCAGTCAATGATTTCCAATTACTGTGTGATGCAAAAAACAAGCCATATAATAAAATGAAAGAAATTCTGTCTTTCCATATATTATCTTGAACCTAATCCGATAAATAACGCGTTCCTGTACATATACCGCATCCGTCAAAGGGTCTCGTCAGTTAATTACATCAATTTATTACAACATCGCACAATGGGCCAGCCGATTAACAGTTGATCTTACATGATTGATTTACAGTGGTTGCATACAAACAGGCGTACACAGCTGATTGAAAAATTTTCCTCTAAATTGATGATTGCTTTTGCTTTTTATTTGAATGTAAAAAGCACAACTGAGGCCTTTGCTCACCACAAGACGGTGTTATGGCTTTTCAAACAGTCTATTTACATTGTGTAAACCCTCAAGATGAACGATTTCCCTTTTATTCAGAAAAGAGTAATTACAGTGTCTCATGCGCAGAATTTGTCAAAAGTGAAGGGATCACACACAAGCCCTAAATACGCCTGACGTCCATCGTAACAAAACTTTGTCATTTTGGAAACTTCTGTTTACATGTGAGACCCCGGAACAAGCAGCAATCATCCAAATATAAATAAAATAATTATGGTCGAGTGAGAAGTTTGAGCCACTCCGTTTCCACGACTTACGAAAATACGAAAGCGGCAATGGTTCAGTGATTACGGAGCGTAGGTAATCCAGAAGAACGGGTTATTTTGGATAAGAAATTAAAATTGCAGAAAACAATTTGGGTGTAGGTAGTTCATTTCCTGTCCGCGAGCATCTCTTCGTCCACTGGGCGAATTTAATGCGTTAATAGCATGTACTTAGTTATGTATTTTGTGCTAGCACTTAAAT